TGTACGCCCATCTCGGCTTCTCGGTGTGACCACAGTATCCTTGTCACCCAACCATCACTACTAGTAGACGGTTCTATTTCCTGCAAGACAGCAAGAGACTATAGGAATGTAGGCAATTTAAATAAAAGTAAAAGAAGGCTTCGGGAACTATTTTTTGTAAATATCAAATTTGATCTCTCTTGTACATATCTATATTCATTTCTATAAATATAGTGAGGGGGGGGGGGTATAAAATACCATAAATACATATCAAACAATATCGGATCACATTATTCACTATATTACTTTAAAAATCACTATTGCTTTCTATGTACAGTCCACACAATTCAACACTGCGGACCAAATACATAGTGCATACATACTACTAGACTAGGATAAAAGAAAGGGCACCGTCACCAACATTTAACAAATTTGTGCGGCTTTGTCACACACGGCACGTCCAAGTACATTGAACATCAATCCACAAAGCGCTTTAGAAGGTGCTATTCAGTCACGTTCTCGTTGTCGTACCGACACATATCGCTTTAAGGATGCCACCCCCCAAAAAGAAACCCGAGACAGAGGAAGAGAAGCAGAAGCGAGAGAAAAGTATTCAGGCTGCGAAAAACTATCGCTTGCTCAAGAAACAACAGGTTGCTGACCAGGAAAAGAAGGTCGACGAGCTTATGAAAGAGAATAAACGTTTACTCGATGAGGTTGGTAGAATCGGGATGGGGGTTAGGACTAGGACTTGTCTGCTTGTACGACATGTGTGTTATTGTACAAATACATGAGCATGAGATAATGAATGGTTATACCCGAACAGGTGTGACGCTTTAAGTATAAATTCACTTTACAACCACATATATTCCCTGCAAGAGTGTAGCTCTTTCAAGTTTACAAACAGAGAGATAAACCATTATTGAGTTCCGAATACTGTTGTTACGAATGCATCTATCACGGTCAATGGGCTGGTGGGCTATATTTATATATATATATATCCATATTTATATATATATATATATCCATATATATATATCTCTCTCTCTCTCTCTCTATATATATATATATATATATATATATATATATTATATATTATATTTATATATATATATATATATATATATATATATATATATATATATATGTTAGTCTGTGTGTGTGTGTGTGTGTGTGTGTGATTTGTGTATCTATATCTATATGTATATCAATATATGTGTATATATATATATATGTGTGTGTGTGTGTGTGTATGTGCGTGTACGTATATATATGTCTGTGATTGTGTGTGTATGTGCGTGTACGTATATATATATATATATATATGCGAATAGGAATATATGTATATG